CCAGTCTTCTCCACAGACATGATGGCTGATGCCAACCAGGGCCTGGTGTCCCAACCCAAGGTGACAATACATGGAAGGGTGGATGGCCAGGAGGCAGGGTGAGGACCAAATGATCCTCCAGGTCTGTCTTGGACCTGCTTTTTGGTGACTCTCCCAAGACTCACTGGCTTGCAGGCATCTGCCCTCTGGCCTCATCATCTGGGCTTCTAGTGTTGGGCCAGGGAGCCTAATGGCCAGGGCTGAGGAAATTTCTTGGGGAGGAGGCAGGAGTTCATGAGCTGGAGGACCCCTAGTGTTATTAGTCCCTTTTCATCACCACCACCACCCCACCACGCTCTGCCCCATGGGGCTGGGAGGAACCAACAAACAGCCATTCCCACCCCAAGGCCAAGGACTCCTGCCAAGGCTGCCCAAACCAGATGTGCCACACCCCTCTGGCAGGAAGCTTGGCTGAACAGAGGGTGGGAGGAAGAGATCCCCTAGAGGCTCAGGAAAGCCCTTCGATGCTGGATGGGTTGTTCCAGGGCTAGGGCTCTGGGCTTGGAGAGTGGGGAAGAATGACTTCTGGCAGGGACCCCTCCCCTCTTCTGGGCTCTGGCTCTCAAGGGTGTTGGGAAGACCAGGGAGCTCCTGCCATGCTGGGCCTCCTCTGAGTTTCCCCCAGGTCCCTTAGGAGCTAATCCAGCAAGGGAGGGGCCGGGTGTGCTTTGTGAGGCTGTCTGCCACTTGTCAGGGAAAATGATGATCATTGTCATAACAAGCTGCTACCCTTGAGCTTGGGGCTTTATGGGCTCATCCACGTCCTCTGCCTGTACGTGCAGGGTGACCGTGGGCGAAGGCAGGGTAGGTACTAGACCCTCGTTTCTCTTCTTCCTTTGGGTTTTGACATGTGATTGTTGGGAAGTTCTCGTTCCCCCGAGTCTAACTGTGCATCCTGGTGGTTCTTGCCCGCGGGGTTTTGTTTTGCCTTCAGTAACTTCACAGCTCGTGTCTGGCCCCTTCTTACAATGACAGATCCTGCAGGTATTTGATAAGAGACTTACTCACCCTAGACTTTCTCCTTCCTCATCCTGGGGAACCTTCACACCTGTGCATCTGACTCTTTCAACAAGATTACCAGACATCCCAGTTTATACCCGGGGAAGCCAGTGCTGGCAGAGTCGAGGTCACGACCTGGGGTCACTTGCCCGGGCGTGGCTGAGCTGGTCTCCTCGCTCCTGCTGGGGTTGCCCAGCCTCTCATGGAGGGTGATGTCTTGCTAGACATCCTTACATCATCTGTTAGATGTAACCATGTCCCATCCGCAGATCCCACAGTCCCTTCATCTCAAACTGGCCCATTATTTCCCCTACACTGTGTACACTCGGACTGTTTTGTCCACATTTCATCTGGGGACTATGAGGTCCAGAGAAAGCCACTGGTGTTTTCAAGGCCTGAAAAGCAGGTCTCTAGACTCCCCTCCCAGGGACCTCTTAGTCAGACAGGCAGGATGGGGTGGAGGTGAGGGGAAGGAGCGTGCCAGGTCATCCCCCAGGAGCAGCTTAGGAAGGCTGTGAGAGAGGCCAAGGAGTGTGTCTGAACCCTGTTCCTGCTCTTCAAGGCCAGGCGAGAGGAGATTTCATAAACTCATATTTTATGGGATTGGGTCGGCAGGGTAGGCAAGCCCAGGGCCCAGGGGAGAAGGCTAGGGGTTTGCTTGTCAGCCTAGAAGCCTCTGCCTGCTCCCCATCTGTTCACTGGGCAGTGGGACCCTCTTTGGGGAAATTCCACTACCCCAGCTATGCTTTAGGGAGGAGACCTCTTTCCCTGGGCTTTGGGGGAAGGGCTGGATTGGGGATGTAGGCAGAGAAGTCTGGGGGATAAGCTGGAAAAGGGAGCTTTGTCAACTTAGTGGGGTGGGAGAGGTAAGCTTGGAAGGGGCAGAGTAGGACTGAGATGACTGTGCTCTAGGTCTTCCTGCCTTCCTCCCCAGACAGGCCTTACACTGAATGCCAAGGCCCCTCCCTGTGCCTCCTCCCATCCCTGGGCTGTGCTGTTGACGTAGGGCTGGATACCCTCCCCGCAATGTCTGTGACCGAGATATCTGGAAGGCTGCCAGCCAGGGGCTGAGATGGGAAAACAGGGGAGGTGTGACCTCAGAATGGAGGGGATTCACTTGCCTCTCCTTGTGGGATGGGGACACTGAGTGAAGTCCAGAGCTGGGCAGTGCCCTGCCTTCTACCGTGCAACCTGACACCTCTCCTAGAGTGTCTTCGGAATATCAGAACCCTGGCCCGGCTGCCTGGCCCAGCCACCGGGGGGCACTGCTGGGCTCCTGCACCCACTCCTGGCTCCACCACCCTCTGCTGTCTCTGACTCTGCCCTGGGCTTTATCTGTTCTTTCCTGCCTCTCCGCAGTCTCTGTCTGCCTGTCTCTGAATTTTGAGACGATCTAAAACTTCAGAAAAGTTGCAAATACGGTGCAAAGAACTTTTCCCCCTGAGCTGTTTGAGAGTAAGTAAGTTGCTGGTATGATGCCCTACTACCCCTAAATACGTTCCTGTTTTCCTACAAGGACTTTTCCTACCTAACCTGACACAGCCATCGAAGTCAGGATAGTGACATTGCTGCGTGACTGCCTTCTCATCCTCCGACCCCACTGAAGTCTGGCCAGTTGTCCCAGTGATGTCCTTCAGGGGCATGGAAAGAATCCAGTTCAGAAGCGGCTGTAACATTTGGTTGTCACATTGATTTAGTCTCGTTCTGTCTGGAAACCTCCTCGGTCTTCCCTTGACTTTTGTGACCTTGTCACTTTTGAAGATTAGAAGCCATTTAATTGGTAGACTGCCCCTCCATTTGGGTTGATCTGATGTTTCCTCCTGATTAGGTTCAGCTTGTGCCTGTTTGGCAGGAGCATCACGAAAGTGATGTTCTGTTCTCAGACTGTCTCCTCCGTGGCACACGGTCTCCACTCATCCCATTACTGGTGATGTTAACTTTGATCGCTTGATTTAAGTGGAGTCTGCCAGGGAAAATTACTTTTTTCCCCTTTGTAATTTATAAGTATGATGTGGGAAAGTGCTTTGAGACTCGCAAATGCTCTGTTCCTCATCAAACTTTTGATGTATTCACTTATTTCACGTATCAGTGTGGACTCATTTAAGCCATTACTATCATTATGTGTTTGATGCTCAGATCTTCCCAGTCTGAGGGGCCCCTTCAAGCTGGCTTCTGTGTCCTTTTGTCTGTCTCTCCCCTTTTGATTCTCTGGTTCCCTTTATAGTCTCCATGTGTTTCTATCTAGTCTCTCTCATTCTCGGTGCGTGCTTGTTCGTCTCTGTCTTTGTCTCTGCCTTTATCTTGGTCCTGTTTTTTCCCCTCTCTGAGTCTTGCTTTTGTCTGTCTTTCTCTCTCTCCTCTCTCTCTCCTCTCTCTCTCCCTCTATCTCTCTCTGTATCTTTGTCTTTTTCTCTGTCTCTGACACTGTCTTTGTCTCTCTTTTCCCCCCTACCTCTCTCTCTCTTGCTGGCTTTCCGTCTCTCTCATTTTGACCATTTTCCTCTCTGTGTCTTCCGTGGCTCAGTCTTGTTTGCCCAGGACTCACCACTGCAGGGTCTTCAGCTGGGGGTCCTGGACGCGCTGGGTTTGTGGGACACTGTCAGCCACCCTCGTCTGAACACACAGAGCTGGAAGGCTCCGGAGCAGGGTGCAAGGAGGGGGACTGGAGGCGAAGAACCCTCTCCCTGGAACTGCGGGGTCTGTGATGGTGTCTGTGTCCATGTGTGTGCAGAGGGCGTCAGAAAACTGTGCCTGAGAGGGCGGGGAGAGGACGCGTCATGTCTGTGCTCTGCTGGCCCCTGCTGCTGGAGCTGGGAAGTGAGTCACGTTAGACACCAGGGTGAGGTCCTTGGAGAGGACAGTGCGTGCATGCAGGGCATGACTTCCTGGGGAGTCCTCTGAAAGGGGAGCTTTCCCAGTCTGTGCCTGGGCTGGGGGCCGCGGGTGGGAGGATGTTGGTCCTAAGCAGTGTAGGCACAGGACTTTGCGCTTAGAGTGCATTTCCCTATCTGGTCATAAGGGGTGTGGGGTCCAACCTCATGCTGTCTGGAGGGGGAGACTGAGGCTGGTGGTAGCAGTGGGCTGGCTGCTGGCCCAGGGCTCACGGCAAGTCAGACCCAGAGAAGGCTTGACTGCCAGCCCGCCTCTCATTTCATGTGTGTGGTGGTGTAGTCTCAAAAAAGATATTTAACCTATCAATGTTTTTATAATGCAAAGCACAGTATATAAAAATAAAGGTGGAAGATGCCTCTGGGCTGGGGCAGGGGGCGGTAGTGAGGGTGAGGGAGAGAACTGAGGGGCCCAGCACTCTGGGGACGTTGGTACAAGATTCAGGGCCACCCACAGGGGAATGGATGAGTGAGCTGCGGGCACGGAATGGAAGACCACACAGCGATGGGAAGGAAGGAGCCACTTCTCTATGTGACCACGTGCATGAATCCCACAGATCCTTGCTGAGCAGGAGAAGCAGGCACATACTGTGTAATTCCACTCACATAAAGTTTAAAACCTGGCAGAATGGACCTTCGGTGATGGAAGTCACAATAGTATTTACCTTGGGGTGACAGGGACTGGGATGGCCACGGGGGAGCCTCCTGGGGTAAGGTTCCATGAGGCGCATGTGTGTCAAATTGTATTGAGCAATAAGTTTAAAATTAGTGCACTTTGCTAATAAAGTAGAATTTAAAAACATGATTAAGAAACCACAGAGGGGGCCTGTGGTCCCTGGGTGTGGGGTTTCCAGTTGTCTGTTCCCACTTTAGTCTGGGAGTCTGAGTCACACTCACAGCCTTCTCTGTCCCTGGGCACCTCCTCCCAGAAGTGGGCTCAGGCCTCTCACAGCTGAAGGGGCTCTCGCCTCTCCTTTTTCCCAGGGTCTGCCTGCTTCTCCCTGGTCCCCCGGCTCTTTCCCCAGGAGCCCCGCCTTCTGCCCAGACCTGACCACTGTGCCTCTCCTCCCACAGCCCGAGGATCTGGAGGCCCCCAAGAGTCACCACTTCAAGGTGAAGACCTTCAAGAAGGTGAAGCCCTGTGGGATTTGCCGACAGGTCATCACCCGGGAGGGTTGCACCTGCAAAGGTGAGCAGCTGGCTGGGCCATGGGGGTGAGGAGCATGTCTTCATGGGAAGGAAGTGGCCTGGGGCCCAGGTCAGGCTGGAACTTGGCTTTATGGATGTCCTTGGGGTCCCGACTTGGTGCCTGGTTCTCCTCTGGGAGGGGATGCTGAGCACATGGATGGCAAGTGTGTGGGTATGTTTGGACGGCACATGGCAGGTGTGGATGGCAGGAAGGGGTATGTGGATGGCAAACAGATGGCATGCAAATGACCTGGAGGAGGCATATGGATAGTATGTATTGGCAGGTGGCTGGTGTGTGGTTGGTGTGTGGAGGTCATGTGGAAGGTTTGTGGGTGGTGTGTGCCTGGCACTGGGAGTACTGCAAAGACACCAAGCCACAGTCCTCCCCCTGTGGCAGCTTAGGGGTGAGTTTAAGAGGACCCGTGTTTACCCTTGGAGAAGGGCCTGCTGGCTGCCAGGCTTTTGCAATGACTGTTCTCATGTGTTCATGGAACGGCCTGGGGTTTGCTGTCACTGCTGCCAGGGGAGTCAGTGTCTTGTCCCAGATTACACAGTGAAGTCAGCAGAAGGCCCCTGCACCCGATCTTGGTGACTGACACCATCACCCACCCCGATGTCCCACCAGAGCCTCCCTGCCTCCCATCCATCCCCAGCCCCCTCCTCCATGAAGCTTGAGTTGCTGGGCTTCTCTGCAGCCAATTCAGGCAGCTGGCATCTCTCACCTTTTGCAGCCCCTCTGCCTCTCGCATCCTGACCCCCCTCTCCAGCCCACTTCTGCACCAGCTTCCATGTGGATCTAGTCCTGTTAGTTCCCTGGGTAAAGCCTTGGCAGCCCCGACACCCTCAAGACCAAGCACAGACCCTTTCCTGCGGCTGCATGGCCTGGCAGTCCACCCATTGCGAGCTCTCTGATCCATGTCCTCCAGCCCCCAAGGCCATAGTGAAACCAGCTACACCTTGCACACTTCTCGAATATGCCAAATATATAAAATATGCCAAAGGGCCAGGACCTTTCTTGCAGGAAGCCTTTACTCATGGATGTCTCTCTGCTAGAACTCTCCCCTCTTCCTTCCCTTCATGCCCAAATCCTGGTGGGGCTGGGAAGCTGGGCATCACAGCCTAGTGAACAATGAATAAAGCATTTCGTATTAAAGCACTCCCGCACATGATCTCGTGAGATGCTCATGGCATCCAGGAGGTGCTGGGGTCATCTCTGTTTTACAGATGAGGAAGCTGAGGCTCAGAGTAGTTAAATCTCTTGCCAAGGCACACAGCTGTCTTGGTCAGAGTAGTGTTTCCAGCTTGTGGCAAACTCTGGGGGTGGGAGGGCTTCCTAGACAGGGAGTTTCAGCTGGTGTTGGAGGTTGGAGTAGGTAGATAGAAGTGTGTGTGTGTGAATGTGAATGTGGGAGATGTTCCAGGCATAGCTAAGGGCAGAGATTTATGGTCCTTAACTGCAGCGCTGGGTCACCCAGACTGAGTTTAGGGGGCAAACAGGAACTTTTGCAATACCAAAATTAGCCACAAGGTGGCACCCTCCCCCAAGACCTCTGGCTGGGATAGGTGGTGGTTTAGGGTGGGAGCTGGAAAGAAGCCAGGGAGACGTTGCTTAGGGTTCTGCATTTTGCTTGCATCACCACCTCCACGCCACCCTGTCCCCTGAACCCGCTCAGGTTAGCCCCTGGACCTCTCCCCAGTTCCTTCCTAATTCAGTGTGCTTTCCCTTCACCCCAGTGACCCTCAATGCTGCTCTTATAGGGGCTGGGGTTAGAGGGAAGTTCGGACATACTCACTGGGTGACCTTGGGCAGGTTTCTGGCCACACACTCTGTGATAGTCTGTGGTCCTAGGTTCTGCAAATGACCTGGCTTCAAGGTCTCGGTTCAGGAGGGGATTTGACCCCATGTGAATGGAAGGCTCCCAGGGTGAGCAGGGATGACCCTGGTCTTACCTGGTTTGGAGCCCGTTCCTGCTAGTGTGAACCAGAGTGGAGGGCCCATGGCCAGTGGGCTGCCAGGCTGGTTTGGCAGCTCTGGGTGAGTTTGCAGGAAGAATGCCAGGGCTACTCTCTGGAGGCACCACCAGGTGTCAGGACTGGGCCACGGAAGGACTAGGGGCCCCCCGGCCCTACAAGGGAGGACAGAAGACTCCCGGCTCTTCTACAGGCCATATGCACACCCCCAGCAAGAGGGTTGAGGGCAACAGGTCTGTCAGCAGGGTTGGGGCCACTGCGCTTGCTGGTGGGAGATACAGGAGTGGACCAACCCTCTGTGCTTTGGAAACAGAAGGTTGTGATGACATGAGATAAACAGACCCCTTATCCATCCATCCATCCATCCATCCATCCATCCATCCATCCTTCCATCCTTCCCTCCCTCCATCCATGCAGGGCCACCAGGTGTGTTGAACAGGCTGTTCCCTGGCTGAGAGGACAATTGTGGACTAAAATCCAGGCCATATTTTATTCACCAAGCCCAACCCAAAGGGTGTGCTATGCTCCCTGGTTCCTCTTCTGGTCTTTAAGTCTCGGACTACAGCCTGGATTAATGGCTGGGGGTTCTAGGTCGAATGTCAAGGCCCTGAATTCGGTCTCCATGGGGCTTGCAATGTTGAGGGAACTTCTGCTGCAGGCAGGCAGTGAGGACACCTTCCCAGATCTAGAGAGAATGGGGTATTTGTCCATCTCTCACCAGCTGCCCTGCTCTATAGGTCCCCACCCTCCTGCATTTCACCGTTTAATGGAATATGGCCAAAGGAGGTGGAGTGGAAGATGGGGTGGAGAAGGAATTCAAGGAACTTGGGGTCTAGTCCTGGTTCTGGAGACTCAAAGGCGACTGAGGCAAAGAACCAAGGTGGGTGGACATGCGGGTGTAAGCGTGACAGACATATAGGAAAAGAGGTCGCCATGAGACCTCAGCTGGTCTTCTCCGGCACTGAGCTTGCTTCCTCCTGCGTACCACGGGCTTAGTAATCAACCTTGTCCTCATCTCTGAGGTGGTGATTGTGAGGAGCACGGAGGTTCTGTGTGTGGCTGTAAAATGGGCAGGAGTGTCAGGACCAAGACTCCCTGTGGGGAGACAATGGGAGAAGAAGCTCAAGGCCTTTGTCAGTGGCCCAGCCTCTATTTCCAGCCCTGTTGCTCACAGGCTGTGTGACCTCAGATAAATCACTTCACTGCTTAGGCCTCAGTTTCCTCATCTATAGATAAAGGGATAGACCAAGAATGTCCCCTGAGGCCCAGACCATGGAAGAGCCCGGAGAATTCCCTTGTTGGCATCTGTAGAGTCTGGTAACTCTCCCAGTGTAGGCTGCCACTCCATGCTTGTGTGCACGTGTGCACCCATTTGACAGTCATGAACCGAGCCCCTCTGGGCTGGATGCTGGGCCAGATACTGGTGTGAAGATTCAACCCCTGACCTGGGAAGGCAGACATGCTATTAAACAGTTACAGGGCCTGGTGGCAAAGCTGGCACAGAGCTGTGTGTGAAAGGCTGTCTCTGACTCAGCAGAGATTTTCCTGTCAGGCTTCAGCAGGGATGGCATATGTAGGCTGGGTCTTGAGGGATGTGTAAGAGTTCCTCAGTTGAAACATGGGTTTCTCACAGGTCTCTGGGGGCAGTGCTCCAGGGAGTCTAGGGCCTTGCCCGAGGGCCTTACCCTCTTGCCGGGCTGAAACCCAAGGGAAGAGACCAGAATGCCAGCTCAAGAGCCCAAGGGCTGCCGTCTGGATCTGAATGGGGGCCCAGATTTAGAGTGTTTCCCTTTTCAATGCTCCTGGTCACCTTGGAAGGTAGAGGCCATCACCTGCAGTTTCCCCAGAGTGGGATGCACCTGGGGAAGAGGATTCAGCCCTTCATGGGACAAGCCTACCAGAAGCCCTCACTGGCTGGATTTGGGGAAACCTTGTTTCAGGGAGTCTTCTCCTCTTCACTGAGGATGCCAGCTTCTACTGCATCTGAGGACCTCCTTGGAGTCATTGCAAAGAGCCTGCTAGTATGGGAGGACCCTGGGTTCTAGTCCTGGCTGGCCCCTGCATGGCTGTGTGACGTTAGGCGAGACACTTAACCTCTCTGGGCCTGGCTTTCCTGGTTCTCTAAATGAGGGGTTGGAATAGGGCACAGTTCTAACTGTTGCAGGGAAACTGTAAGTTCCTTTGAAGGTGTTTTAGGGATCTGAGAGGGTAGAGAAGAGGGGAAATCTGAGAGCAGGCTTAAGGATCTAGGGCTAGGGAAACCCTGCCCACTTCAATCAGGGCAGCTCTGGTTTTGGGAGTTAAATATATTAGGAGGCAGGATGATGTGGCAGTTTTGCAGTTGGCTCAGACATCCTAGATTCAAATCCCAGCTCTTACTAGTGAGGACTTAGGCAGATTGCATTCCCTCTCTGAGCCTCAGTCACCTCACCTTTAAAATGGGTCACATAGCAAACCTCCCTCCTCAGGTTGCTTGGGGATTACCTGAGATAATACCCATGAAGTGCTCAGGACAGATCCTGGCACACAACAAGCATTCAATAATTGCCAATCAATATCACTGAGATTCCACCTAAGAGGAGGCAGTTGCAGGAGTTTAGCTGCAAAAACAAAAGTTTGAAAACCACTAGATAGGATGATCTAGAAGGTTTCTTCCTGCTTCAACATCGGAGCCACATTGTACCCACTGCCCCTGACCACCCCCAGAGATACCTTGCATTAGGGTTCTCCAGAGAAACAAAACCAGCAAGAGGGGTAGTTAGGTAGGTAGGTAGGTAGGTAGGTAGATAGACAAATATTTAAGGAACTGGCTCATTTGAGTGTGGAAGCTTGGCAAGTCCAAAATCTACAGGGCAGACTGTCAGATTGGAGACCCAGGGAAGAATTGCAGTTCAAATCCAAAAGCAGTCTGCTGGCAGAATTCCTTCTTGCTTGGGGAAATCAGTCTTTATTCTTCAGGCCTTCAACTGATTGGACAAGGCCCACCCACATTATGGCAGGTAATGTATTTTACTCAGAATCTACTGATTT